CGGCAAGACGCTTGTATGACTTTCTTTTTTTTTTTCAGTAAGTGACAGCACAGGACAAATATATTGATTTATTTTCATTCCGGTTACCGTGTACGTAGATACGGAGACTAAATCTAGGTGCTCAGTTACCGTGTACGTAGATACCGAGTCTAGGTGAGACTAGGTGTCCGGTTACCGTGTACATAGATACTGAGACTAGGTGCCCGGTTACCGTGTGCCGTGTACGTAGACACTCCGAATAAGTATTAGTGACGTCAAAAGTGAACTACAGTTGCAAAATATCTGAATTGCCTCCCACGACAAAGGCAAACTGGGGAAGGGCAAATCTAAGCTCAAAGCAGGGTACTTTTTTACTCGCAAATGAATAGTTTTTGAAATATATCTGATTGTTCTTAATAGAGATTAGAATGCTTTGGACCAATCGGGGGGTTCCAGGGGGGCCTGCCCCACTGGGGTAAAAGAAAATCTTGGCGGTTAGAGGGGGGCATGCCCCCCCTATTTTAATCCATAGTTTGATATTTTACAGTTTTAGATTTGAAATTTTCTTGAAAATAATTGATTTGCGACAGTTTTAGTGGATTTATAAGTGATCGGCAGCAAACAGTACTGCAGTTTGACCCCCGAAGCAGTGCATCTGTGTGCGGGAGTGAAAGTAAAAATTTACCCAAAGAAGGGAATAAATTTGAAAATAAAAGTTTCAGAACAACAAAGGAATATATATAATTATCAATTGGTAGTCTAACCCCCCTTTATTTGACGAGAAAGACAAAATATCATTGCTCAATTGGAAGTCCAGTTAGATATTAAGAAGGGAAAAGTTAAAACCCCTCCAAAGGGAGCGAAAGTCAAAATAACAGTGGTCCAAAGGAAAAGCTTTTCCAACAGCATACTTTACATGATGTTCAAATAAAATCAGGACAAAACAATACATTGTCATTATTGTGATAGTGTTAGACAAGCAACGATCCTACAATATTGGAGTTTGAGTCCGAATTGCTCGGAGTTGGCCACTTCGTTAATCAAATTTGTCGGATCTGGGTAATAAGTTTAGAGTTTAACTTTTAGGATTAGTTATGTATTTTGGGCGTAGGGTGAGGGTTACCCTAACTCCACCCTTACACTAACCCTTGTTTAATTGTCCCAACCCTTTCCATTACATTAGATCCAGTAATTTAAAGAAGTTTAAGAAGGGAATCTTTTGTGATTTCGGAAAGTTTCAAACTCCCTCTTGGCTCAGGGTAGACCTAGGTTCTTCTAGATCTATGGCCAAGGTCTAGATCTAGACAGACAGACATTCATCTTGTTTTGAGGCCTAGATCTAGATCTAAATGAAGATTGCGGATGTCTTTTCGATGAACGATCGTTTTTCCTCTGTTTTGGAGTTGTAGGAATCAATAAGACAATTTGAAGAAAAGACGAGATCTCTCTCCTCTCTCTCTCTCTCTCTCTCTCTCTCTCTCTCTCTCTCTCTCTCTCTCTCTCTCTCTCTCTCTCTCTCTCTCTCTCTCTCTCACACACACACACACTTGCACACTTGCACACACACACACACACATACTTTACGGTGTCTGGGCGCTGAAATTTTCCGAAATCACAAAAGATTTCTCCTACCGGGTCTGTAAACCTCGTGACTTTGTTCCCGGTTACCGGGTCTGTATACACTTCGTTGAAAGAATGCAGATTTAGAAAAATGCCCATTACCAAAGTTACTAGATAGGCCTCTACTACCTAAAAAAGTTACTAATTAAATCATTTTTATCAGTCAATGATATGAAGCAGAGGATAGATTTTTCCAAGGAAGTGGCTATCCTCACCAGGGGTGAGAGCAGCCTGTGTCTTGCTATTCTAACCCCCCTTAGACTCAAGTGTACACAGTAGGCCTCTATACTCTATAGCACAGACACACACGGACAGCACAGAGAATAAGTTGTGCAGGTAACCGGCCATTACATCACACGGTCATCTCGTCACACCCCATTTTTGTGTGACGAAATGACTTCGCTTATACTTTTAATAGATCTCTCTAAATTTTATGCTTGCAGAGTTTTGAAGGATCTGCCTTTAGCTTTTTTTTGAGAAGTTATGATATATATATTGATGTAAATTAAATCTTCGTCCAGATTGTTCCATAGTTGAACAATAGTTTAAATAAGGCAAAAACAATGTCTGGTAAAGAGTATAGGTTTTGTTTGAAAGTAAGGGTCTAACTTTTAGCAAAATTGCAGTACCGTACGTTTCTATTAGATTTTTAATTTATTTTTAACAGAACTAAGATCTGTCCAATCACACCTTTCATCAATAATAATACCTAAGAACTTTGTTGATCTGACTGGATAGATTTCAATATTGTCAATACATATTAATGAACTGTGTAGCTGATCAGGAATAGGCATGGCGACTCGCATAGCCCCCCCCACCACACACACACCTCGACACACAGCCCCAACCCTCCCCCTAAAATCTTGATTTTCGATTGCCATGACAATGCGCGTTTGATGTTTGTAAGTGTGCTGCGAAACGACCGTCTCCATTCAACCATGTGGATTTGGTTGGGGTGTGACGAGATGACTGTGTCGTCTTGACTGCACCTTTGTGATGAAATGACTGGTGGTATTTATTGTGCAGGCCAAGATTATAAGTTTCAGGTTTAGTTTATGTAATGGGCTGGGGGAAGGCCATTTACCCCCCCCCCCCAACAACAACAAAAATGAGTTACATTGTGCGTCTAATAAGTTATGCAAGAACGAAATATCAAGTGCAAAACTTTTTTTTTTTCTGATACTCACCAGTGCTCATAATAATAGCCTAATTTAAGAAGGCTATTTGATAATTAAAAAAGCAAACAAACAAATTATGTATAATAAGGCTTTGGCAACGGTAATCTGTAGCTGGCCTTCATGATGAAAAAAGCGCCAAGCACTGATGAGCCATTTCTCAACCACATGTAGTAAGCCACCAAGGACCTAGGTGATTTTATCGGCCTGCAAGAGGTCAGGGTGGAGTCCTCATGCCCACACCGAGATGGGGGTGAGAATGACAGGTCATGAGCTATGTATAGATGGTCTTTTTTCAATCCTATGATATGTAATGTATAATAAAAATATCGTATATTGCTCAGTTTATGAATTTTTCAAAGTGGAGTTCGTGTGTAAAGTAAATAAAATGAACACAGTTTAATTGGAAAACAGCGTTAACCAAGAGAAAATAAAATCCGTTTTTTGTTGTTGTCTTCGTAACAAAACTATTTATTAGCCGAAATAATCCCATTAATAATAATGATATATAACATTTATATAGCGCATTTCCAAAAATGTAGCTCAATGCGCTTTACATTGGAATACCCATTTTTCAAAAACCTTTCTTACTGCTTCCTTTCTTCTCGCTCAAGCAATAATCATTAATGCACACACACACACATACACACACACACACACACACACACACACACGCACACGCACACATACACAGAGACTATTTTCATCCAGACATAGGAAAGAACAAATATAATGAATGATAACGTTAAAAGCTTATGAAGGATAGGCCTGTAGGAACAGAAAATGTTTAAGATGTCTTTTGAAGCTATCAAGTGTTCTTATTTGTCTTAGTTTCATGGGTAATCTGTTCCACATAAATGGACCAAGATATGAGAAAGATCTCTCTCCATATGATTTGTATGATTTTACAGGTGTCACAAGTAGGGTGTTATCGTTTGATGATCTTAGGTTTCTCCCTGGTTTATATATACTGATAAGTTCTTGTAGATAAAAAGGAGCAGTTTTATTTACACATTTGAAACACATGACGCAGATTTTAAATATTATTCGTTCTTTTACAGGGAGCCAATGCAGTTCTTTTAATAATGGAGTGACATGGTCTTGTTTTTTAGTTCTTGTATATTATATAATATATTATATGGTGGCGTCGGTGGCCTAGTGGTTAGACTCTCGGACTCGCAACCGTAAGGTCGTGGGTTCGAATCCCGTTAAGGGCCCGACGTTGTGTTCTTGGGAAAGACACTTTACACGAATTTTCCTCACTTCACCCAGGTGGGAATGGGTACCCGGCTATAGACAGCGAAAGATCTTGTCAGTTTGTTAGTGTTTGAGCGCTTAATCGGCTGCTTGCACTGTATGCTTCCCGGGAAGCTGAGAATGTTTCGGAGTGTTCTATGGTCTGCTGGGGTAATAATATAGTGTAAAGCGCATAGAGCCTGCTGCTGAGCGGGGATATGCGCTATACAAATGCTATCTATTATTATTATTATTATTATTATTAAACAAAGAATGTTTCGGTATGTAAATCCTCCCTTGCAACTCTCAAATTATAACGCAAATCATCAAGTCTTATATCATGTGCTTAAGATAGTGAAAGTGAAGAAAGAGACATGCATGATGAAAATGTCTGTGTGTTGATTGCGGGCCACAGAGAGGCCGCTATTTTACTATTTGCTTACGTTGCGTAATTTTATCACACACATCAATGTTCACAGCAGTTTCGAGAAGTCATTGATTTTAAGTTTTCTTTTATAGGGAATATCACTAGAAAAGTCATTCACCACAGTATTCACTTTGTTTCATTTCAGGCAGCTATTTTTGCTACGACAACCCAGCTGCTTTACAGGATACAATGATTCGTGACCTTGACATTGATGAGGGCCAGTTTATGGCCTTTTACTCTTTCTATTCATGGCCCAACGTAGTTTTGTGCATGTTTGGTGGTTACCTCATCGATCGCTTGTTTGGAGTACGACTTGGATCCATCATCTTCAGCTTGTTTGTTACTGTTGGGCAGGTGAGAAAGATGCTGAGATAGTCCCTTCTATGTCTTGCTTGAGACTGTCTTAGCATGATCAGTAGGATTGATATTTATAGAAGAAACTGCATATAGAAACAGAATGACACAAACAAAAGTCTGTAGGTTTAAAAAGGGAGTTTGTAATTTTCTTTTATATATGAACAGAAAACTTTTCACACTTAATTTTCCACTTTCAGCTGATTTTGAAAAAACATTACCTAGGTTGTTTGTTGCTGAAAATATTTGATTTTCCACTTTTCCTCTAGGGATTAATATTTTTCTTTGAATTTGAATGTCTTACTCTTAAAAAAAGCTGAATAATATTTTTATAGAGATGTAAACTTAGGTTGAGGCTTCAGTTAAGTGAGTGTAAATTTGTGGGCATGTATTCTAGTAGAGTTCTATTTTCTGCTTGCTTTGATCAGCTTTCTATGTTTGAAAATACCATTCTCAAAAGGTTGCCTTTAAAACATTGTACGGAATACATTTTGATAAAATCCATTTTTGTGCTTTAAAAGATAAAAAAACAACAAACTTTATTGTAATACTAGATCTAGATCTAGGTGTTTTTTCTATACATTTGCTTGTTGAAAAAACATATTGAGAGATTCTTAAAACAAACACAGGAAAGTCGATGAGTTTTTGCTGGCAGCAAAAATGAAATGCACATTAAATGCAGCACTTTCCAAAATCCTTGACATTTGTAATTATTAATATTTTAAACATTTGACGAGATCTTGTTAAATAGTATCATCACCATCATCATTTCTCACCTCGTGTTGGAGTATAGGTCACCAATAAGAGCCGTCCATTGAAATTTTTTCATTTTTTATTATGAAAGCCGTATTTCATCTGTTTTGTAATATTTTTTGTGGATAGAGGAAAAGATGCACTCCTGCCATGTTCACCTTTTGAGAATGGCTCATCATGTAGCAAATTGTGACATCTCTTATTATTTATATTGCAAACTATACACTAGCATCCCACCAGTAAAAAGTGATATTAGAAAAAGGGTAATAACGGCAGTATAAAATTGATATTTCCAGGACCATATACAGCCGAAAAGTCTGAAACTATGCTTGATCAGGGATCAAACTTTTTAACTCTTTCTATACCGATGGTGATTTTGGGTTCTGACCGCAGGTCACAAGCAATAGGCTAGAGAAATCCTGATGCTTCATTTTGATGCCTTATCTTCAGGGTTATATATGAAAAAATGGTACTATGTGTCTGAACGGAAAGGAAATTGTATGAACATTTTATAGCAAAAGAGAACGTCATAATGTAAGGGAGGTAAGCAATATGACAGAAGACAGGCGAAAGAAAATGGGGAGATAATTTTTTACCACTAATATTTGATCGACTCACCATAACTTGCCGGGCTTGAAAACTGCTACAATCCAAATCAGTTGTCATATAAAAATATATATTAATATCCATTAAAGATTTTGCTACACACCAGTTTTTGTTTGAAGTCTCTGTCATTCCTGAGTCAAATAATCACAATTTGAAAAATGTCACCACACAGTCAAATAAAATCCCCAGAGCCCCTTACCACAGTAAATAAGACTTTACTGATTGTGGTACTTGAAGCACCCTTGTGCACATACGTGTGGCTTATCAGAGCACCCTGTGCAGTCGAAACTTGTTCTTTTTCTTATCCCCTGTCCACTACAGAGAAGGCACCTAACATCAGCGCCATCAAAGTGGATGAGGTGGACATTGCCTTTGTAACGCTCAATGACATTTCCTCCATTGGCCGTTCCAGATTTTCTGGAAGGGGTAGTTACAAGGGGTGTGGGGGTAATACTTACAGCAAGTGCTGTGAGCTCATCTATCAAGCCCTGTTTGAATTCCTTGAAAGTGCATTTTTTGGTTGCATTAGGCCTGCTCAACACAAACAAAATGTTGACGTTGACTTGCGCTACCTCGAGGGACCATGTACAGTTTTCTTCCCCACCATTTTCTTGTTTTGCGATTGTGCGTACTGTAATATGAAATCATCTGGTCGCCCCTGTCACAGCTATTCATGAAGTTGTTGTAATCCTGTATCATGACAGGATTTGACACCTCGAGGGACCATGTACAGTTTTCTTCCCCACTATTTTCTTGTTTTGCAATTGTGCGTACTGTAATACGAAATCATCTGGTCGCCCCTGTCACAGCTATTCATGAAGTTGTTGTAATCCTGTATCATGACAGGATTTGACACCTTCCGAAGTCTTTCCCTGATCTCGGTTGATCCAACGCAGGAATTCGTTGCCACCACAATAAAGGGTTTCTTTGCTTTCTTGTCCTTCCGTGTGACGCAAAGGATGTCCCGTTCTTCATGGTATAAATACTGCTCCTTGAGGTGTTTGTCCAAGTGTCTTTAGTTGAGGAGGGAAGTCACTTCTGTTCTCATTCAGGGTACCCGTATAGTAGCCGAGCAGATAATAGGTATGATTTATTATGAAGGGTGCCGAGGTGTAATACCGATCAGCGAAGATGAGGTGTCCTCTGCTATAGCAGTTCCATTAGAGTTTTGAAGACTTCCACATCATGTGAAGAATCTTCATCACTCTCTTGAATGAAAGAAGTGTGTCTTTGCCAGAGAACACCAGCAAATTGTAAATGTACCCTGTAGTAGAGAGCCCGAACGTCTTGATGTGGTGTTTTCTCGGCTTCATGGCGTTGTATTGCTTGTGTAAAAATCTACACTTCCAACTGATGACCTTTTCATCCATGATGTTTTGGAAAGGGTAGAATACTGCCTGGAAATTCTTGAACAGAGCCTTGATAAATGGTTCTATTTTTGCTTTGCCTTCTGCCATGGGCTCACACTGGTGAACCATGCTGTGATACAGAAGTTGAAATTTCCTTCTGGAAAACATTTGTCCGTACCAGGGTGTATGCAGATGTCTCCTAGTAGACCAATAGCCAGCGACACGGGGGCATGGTTCCATTCCCATGGCAATGAGTACGGCCAGAAATTTGTTATATCTCGTACCGACCGACTGGTTCCCAAGCAGCGAAACTGGAATGCCTAGTGAGTTAGGTGTGTTTTTGACTTTGAATGTATGCTTTGCATTTATCTCATGGATCAAATTATCTATTGCGGTGTTATCAAGCAATGCAAAAAAGAAATCAAGAGCATTTGCATTTCCCCCCAAGTCCAGCTTAGACCCACAGACTCTACAAAAGTGGAAATCCAATTGTGTTGTTTGCTGAGGCCCTGCTTGCTACCACCCGTGGTCTTCGTTTTCTGCACCTCTTGCTGCAGCCCTTGGCCTTGTTGTTTGGGTTAACCTGGGCACCTTGTTGCTTCCTGCAGCAGCTTTGATTTTTTTTCCTTTGTATTTTTGTTTTCCTTTACCAGTGCTAGTACTGGGAACTGGCTCGTTATCTTTACTGCCACTGGAGTCTGATTGATCATCACTAGATTTAGATTGATTTCTCACAGTCACAGTGTTCTCATCAGGATCATTGTCTGAATCACTTAGAATGTCAAATTCGCCCCAGATATTGTCACAATCACTTCTATCTATAGAGAAGTTATACGGGCCGACATTATGAACTGAGCAGGACGGCCCAATTTATGACAGATACCAGACTTCAAGTGTGATGCGATCGAGAAGAAGAAGAAGACTTCTGTCACTCATGTCATCGTCACTAGATCTGTCACTCAAAGTTTCAAATAGTTTCCTGGCCTGATTGCTGGTAATACGTCAAGGAGGACAAGATTGTGCATCTCCTGATGAAGTGGGCGTATCCATGTTTGTGTTAACATTGGAAACAAATCAACACTGTCGTAGCAAATAGATTTCCACTTAAAGAAAATGCCAAACAATGCAAAGTGATGCTTTTCAACAAATTTCGCCTCTGGAAATACATATTTTTGCAAAACACTTAACATAAAGTCAGTTTAAAATGAAAAACTGATCTACAACGAAACAATACTATGCAGACCAATGAGTCGGTCCTTGGCAAAAATGACGATAATTGGAAGACCGATGTATCGGTCTCTGGTATAGATTGAGTTAAATATTCCTGTTGGGGTCGTTGTCAGAAATAGTGTCGGCAAATACCTGGTTACAAATTTCAGATGCAGGTTTCATTAACTATAATTTATAACTAATAATTATGCTTTTTCAAGGAAAAATGATTCAAAGACAGAGAAGAGAAAGAGGCTGAGACTATACCAAAACATGATCAATTGTTTGTCCTTTCCTCACCGATAATGGATAAAATTGTAAATATTAGCATAATTAGCAGAGTAATGGGTATCAAATCTGTTATTCTTTTCTGAAAACAATGTTGATATTAAATATTCCCTCTTTAACTTTCTGTCTTTTTAGTCTCACTTATAAAAGCTCTTTTGCGTGATAAATTTAACAAGTTGTTCTGTAAAGTGATACTGAAAATCAAGCCTAATTTAATAAGATCTTTGAGGACATGACATCAGCTTAGCTGTGTCATGTGGGACTAAAGAAGGGATTTTCCTGAGTTGAGTCTCTATAGGAGGGGTCCTTGAATTTTGGTTGTTTGGGGAGGTTTCCAGAATTTTTGTTTGCTTTGCTTGGTCCTGACAGGGATGGACGTGATAATCCAGCCTCTTTGATATCCTTTCTGTTTTTTTAAAAGGGGCATTACAGTCATGCAATACAGTTTGTGATCTATGAAGGAAGCTATTGTGTGCTCAAGGCAAGCTAATATGTTTTGCTAAATTTTTTCCCCACCCTCTTGCTTTGGGCTTGGGTAGTGCTTGCTTGACATTTTTGTTCTCCATCAACAGGTCATTTTTGCTTTGGGGTCACTCTTCAATCTGTATGGCCTTATGTGCTTTGGAAGATTTGTATTTGGGTAGGTAGATTTTTTTGTATTCCCATGCCATTTATTTTTGTTATAGACCAATCTCCCCCAAACGCTTTAATAAAATATTTTACATATATATGATTTTATATATTCGTGCAGAAGGAACAAATGAGAATGAAGAAATTTTTTAAAAATGTGAGGTCGTGTGGAATTTGGTATAAAAGTTCTATACTATATTTGTATTTTATTTGTAAAGCATGTTGTATCTATTATGTGATGTTTGGCAAGACTTGAACAGAAGCGACTTCCAAAGAAGTGTTCAAAGCCCTGATATAAGAGAACTCAGGCAGTCAGTTTTTGTATAATGTATAGTTTTATTATTTTTATGAATCTGCTCTTACTCTACCACATATGTACTGCCCATAAGCTAAGCCATGTTTACCTGCGGAATTGAATTGATGTTTGTGTTCATGAATGAAACTCATAGTGTTATCCATGAAATATTTATCATCCTCCATCTTTTCTTTCTATGTTTCTCTCTAGCAACATCTCTATTCTTCAGCTCTTACATGACCTAGCTGTGTTGCAGTGCTGTTGAACACTAACTATAACTAGAAATGAAGTCTTGAAATTTTCTTGTCCACCTGTTCAGGATTGGTGGAGAATCTCTGGCTGTGGCTCAAAATACTTTTGCGGTAAAGTGGTTTCAGGGAAAGGAGCTCAACATGGTGTTTGGTTTGCAGCTTAGTTTCTCCAGAGTGGTGAGTGAAGAGATATTTTATTGTACTTTGTGTGGATTTTGTAGTGTAGTACACTTGCTGAGCGACCCGACTTAACTTTTCTTGATTTGAAAAAGACATGAAAAAACTCTTGGCACTTTTTCTAGAGATCAGTCACTTACAACATTGCTTTATCAATTTGAACACTACTATTTTGGATGACCTGAGAATGATATGGGCAAGGCTAGTGTAACAAACCAATGAAACCAGAACATGTGATTTTGTCAGATACATTGTTCTGTCTAGGGACGACTGAGTAATTCAGCTCTTACAGGGATCTGTAGCAAGTTACAAGGGTTAAAAGTGGAATTCTGAGGATGGTTTTATGCATCAGATGGTATGAGGATCATGATGGTGGTAGTTGGTCATACTTTTTTACCCATCCTATGTTGTTTTTTTCTGTCTGTTGTCTTACCTGCAGTGTAGTATGGTAGTATGATGGTGATAATAACACCCCTCTAATGATTCACCAAACTTGTATAAGGTGAGGGTGTTTCTTGTAAGAAAATTGTGCCTGGGCATTGTTACTTTGCCTGAAACTTCTCACTGTGCGTATGGGTGGTTGGTTGGTGCTGTGGTGTGGTTTGCTCCTTTTCTATCAAACATCCTCTTTTGTCCTTATCTCTCCTCCTTTTTATGTTGGTTACTCTCTTGTAACACCTCTAATCTTTAGCAGTAATGTGACCTAGTTGTGATGTGAGTGCTGTTTAACTCTTACTAAAGCATGATTTCTTGATAAGTTCTTTGTAAAGGTAGCTAAGTATTAACCCTATCCGTACCTCTGGGGTCATTTTGTACCCCCAGGGTTGTATTCTTCACATTTTAGAAGACTTCTAGTGCGAAGATCTCTTTGAAACGTTCAGTATTTCTCAAAAAATCATTTTGACAGACTGCTATGCAAAGCGTACGGATCGGATTAACAAGTAAATTTCCTCTTTGGAAAGTGGTGGCACAGAGTTCCCCACATCGTATAGATACGATAGTAAAACACGACGTACGGATAGGGTTAAAGTGATTAGAGGGTCTTGACCATTGGTGACCATCTAAATGAGCTTTCAAAGACAGGACGTCTTTTGAATTCACTTTCTAAATTTAAAAGGGGGCTCAGTAGCTCAATAGTTATTATGTTTGACTGTCAACAAGGAGGTAAAGAGTTCTATCCTTGCTAGTGTAATTTTTTTCTCTCATGTTTTCTTACTCTCTGATCTTAGAGCAGGTAGGATCTAGCACCTCACTAGTCTTCTTGGATAATGTTGAAAAATTTTGGAGACCCCATGTGGAAATTCTGCAATTTAAAGATTCCTTGGCAGCTCTTATATAAAAAAAGAGTTGGCCTTTCGGTTTGTGACACAGATAAAATTCAAAATAGATTCCTACCTTCTCTAAAAACTGAAATTATTCTTTTTGGTTTATTAAAAATTAAGAGTACCTTTAAAAATAGCATATGGCTGCCTGTACTGCAAGGCAAGACAAGGGATGATTCTACCTTCTATGCTGATGAAATGGCCATTTGTGCAAAATCAGCTGCACTATGAAATGACGATCTTATTGTCAGTTCCTCTCTGAGCACTAGCAGAGTTATGAGAAGAAGGAAGAAGATAGTGTCAAAAATGTTTGTTGCTCTCAACTAGTAGAGTAAACTAGTGATGTATGACAGTAGAGTATATGACTATGTGGTATGGCTTTTGGTAACCCAAAAAATGTCCTCTAAACTGTTTATAATACTCTTTTTAAGAAGGGGGATGGATTGCATACGGAATTAAGTATGATGGCAAATTTAGGTACTAAGCCATTTTCTAATATCTGATGATCTCAGATCCTTCTTTTTTTGTCGTAGCCCCGAATTACAGATTCATTCGGGTCGGTCTTGAGCACGATCCAGTTTGATGTGAGATGGCTTCACTTCACTGATCACTTTTGTGCTTAAAAAATTAGTTAAGAGTTTGTTTGGTATGCTGGTGGCTCTTGTTTGGAAAGATGATAGTGATAGTGAGCAATGAGGATATTATCCAAGCGTTAGTGGTTATTTTCATGAACTTTTTTGCTGATTTTAGATATCTACTTGCCCTCTTTTTTCTGTCTGTTTTAATATATTTATTTCACATTTTTTTGAAAATGTAGATCATAAGAAAATAGAAAGCTAAATTAAGTACCCAGTAGGGTCCCAAGTACCGGATGTCTAATAAAAAGAAGACCCGCTTAAAGGCCAATAACTCAGTCACCTTTGAGCCAATTTCAATAGAACTTCGAAAAAGTAAAATTCAATGAGGGGGATGTCACTTTAGTCAATATGAAGAAAACCAATCAGCACGTTCGAAAAATAGAAAGTTTGAAAATTCAAACAAAATTTGAGTCAATTGCAAAACTTTACAACTTCATTAGAATCATCCATATTTCCAATTGTCTTTGTTTATGTATTGAAAAACAGATTTGTACTAAATTGATAATGCCAAATAGACTTAAGGAAGACTATTTAAATTGTATCTCCAGGTATTAATCTTTTCTCTTCATATAAGCTTCAGTGCGCCGTTGGAAATTTTGAATAACCTTGTGGCATGTTTCCGTGTTGATTCCTTGGACCTCCTGTTCAATATTAAGTTCAAACTGTTCAATTATAGTGATTTGTTTCCATAGTCTATGTCTGTCCCAAAAAACCCAAAGGAAATGATTAATGGCTTTCAAATCAAAGGAATGCGGTTACCATTCATTTGTGAATTTTCAGATTATAAGGTGTTCCCCAAACCTTTATTGCAACTATGATACAAGGGCCACTCTTGATGCTGAGGGTGTGGTTCTATCCCACTGGAATAATGCCTCCTCAACACTTTCTCCTCCACAAACTTCTCCAAAACTTTCTCAGTACGAAGCGAGATCTGTCAATGATAGTATCATATATATTTTAACCATCTTCGTCCTTACACCAGAATGGGCTGATCATGCCCCTGTAGGGGAATGCTTCTGAGAAGTAAAGTTTTGTGTTTTACCCAATTTTGTTTGGTTGGAATTTTAAAAAGACTGATACTTTTTAAACAATAATTGCAAACTTGATGTCTGTCTTGTTGAAATTTGTTTGTCCGCAGTTTTGTTGAAATTAATACAGAGATGACCGAGTTATCGGCCTTCAAGTGGTTACTCTTTAAAAATAAATTTTGATACGTAAAATGAAATGAAGGGAATTACATCTGTATAAAAAGCTTCAGTTCTTTTGGAATGAGCAGAATCTTGCAAAGGGTTTTGAATATAAGTTTTAATTTATCTGTACTGGAGTGATCTTATGTTATTGTAGGTTAGTATGTAGGTGTTATAAGTTTCTAAAGCCATTGGGTAGATCAACTGGGCGGGAAATTGATGTGAAACTGATTGGTAGGAAAAAGATTATCCTGTATCAAATGGGAGTCCTATTTTGTGTTTCTTTTTTAAAACAATTCTGTGATAATAAAGGTAAGGTTGAAGAGGCAAGCCTTTATCCTGTCAAATTAAGGTATGTTGAGTGGGATCACGTGTCTGTGCTGTATAGTAGTAAATCACATGAGCATATCTGACACTGTCAGTCTGTTTGAGATAATTTGTTATCACCTCAGGCAGCTGATGATGAATATAGTGATAGCAAGAGCAAAGACCCTAAATTGTAACACCCGGTCTGTTCTACCTAAAGCATAGCCAGTTTTGAATGTTTTGAGAAGATTTGGGGCGGGGGAATAAAAACGCCTTTGAAATCTGTCAGTGTTTCCGATTTTGTAAGAGATAGCCATACTGTCACCCTAAGGAATCCATTATTATGAACCACGTAAAGATTAAAATGTAAACCGCTGGTTTTTTGGAAGGCTTTTCCAATCTACAGTCTGTTTAGAAATTGGCCATCTCAGTTTCTGAAGTACCTTAAAAGAGAAATCATTCTTTCATGTCCTCATTTATCGAAGTTCTGGACGTTTGCTTTCAGTCACAGTTCATGTGTGTTTTAAAAATTTTATTTAAAAATGAGTTATAGATGCTATTTCCAATAGGAGGGCTCGCAAACTTTCAATATGAGATATTTGTGGGAAAATTGAGGATTGGTAAAACTTTTGTTACCTTATAAATGAAAATATTTTGGGGAGGGGGGATGGTAGTGCATTGGAAAAAAATCGTATGTTATGTTTAAAATAAAAAAAAAAAGGCTAGAAAAAGAAAGAAAAGTGTACAAACAACAATGTACATCATAAACTTGGCTCAGATGTGTACAAACAACAATGTACATCATAAACTTGGCTCAGATGTGTACAAACAACAATGTACATCATAAACTTGGCTCAGATGTGTACAAACAACAATGTACATCATAAACTTGGCTCAGATGTGTACAAACAACAATGTACATCATAAACTTGGCTCAGATGTGTACAAACAACAATATACATCATAAACTTGGCTCAGATGTGTACAAACAACAATATACATCATAAACTTGGCTCAGATGTGTACAAACAACAATATACATCATAAACTTGGCTCAGATGTGTACAAACAACAATGTACATCATAAACTTGGCTCAGATGTGTACAAACAACAATGTACATCATAAACTTGGCTCAGATGTGTACAAACAACAATGTACATCATAAACTTGGCTCAGATGTGTACAAACAACAATGTACATCATAAACTTGGCTCAGATGTGTACAAACAACAATACACATCATAAACTTGGCTCAGATGTGTACAAACAACAATGTACATCATAAACTTGGCTCAGATGTGTACAAACAACAATATACATCATAAACTTGGCTCAGATGTGTACAAACAACAATGTACATCATAAACTTGGCTCAGATGTGTACAAACAACAATGTACATCATAAACTTGGCTCAGATGTGTACAAACAACAATGTACATCATAAACTTGGCTCAGATGTGTACAAACAACAATACACATCATAAACTTGGCTCAGATGTGTACAAACAACAATGTACATCATAAACTTGGCTCAGATGTGTACAAACAACAATATACATCATAAACTTGGCTCAGATGTGTACAAACAACAATATACATCATAAACTTGGCTCAGATGTGTACAAACAACAATGTACATCATAAACTTGGCTCATTGGCTCAGATGTGTACAAACAACAATGTACATCATAAACTTGGTTCAGATGTGTACAAACAACAATATACATCATAAACTTGGCTCAGATGTGTACAAACAACAATATACATCATAAACTTGGCTCAGATGTGTACAAACAACAATGTACATCATAAACTTGGCTCAGATGGCTGCTGAAGAAGAGAATTGAAGGTTTATGAGACTGCCCTTTTTGTTGAGAAATCGAATGTGACTGAATAATTAAAAGATGTAATAACAGTGACTTTGCCAAAGACGTTTTGTCTAATTTCTAGAAAGTAAGTTCTTAGGGTAGCTGAGTATGGAGTTGAGGGTCGTGACCGTAGATTTTTTTTCTATGCATAACTGTTGTAATATAAACGTTCCTTTGAATTAGCTTTCGATGGAAAGAAATATTTTGAATGAAGTTTCATGCTGACTAAAACATGACTTAACACTTCAGTCTTATTTTAGGAATCTGTTCCTTTATAAAAATATCTTTAGACACTGATAATACAGTTGTGTTTGAAGCTATTCAGACATGTCTATGTATAATCGCCCTAGTTTATAATTTCCTATGGAGCAAGCATTCTGTTTGCGAAAATAATTGTTAGGTGGTTAGAACTTGCTCTGATGTGGTTGTACTTTGTATTTGTTCTCAAACTATTTTTTTCTTCTCTTGTCTGGTTTTTGTCATTGACATGAATTTATCTTATCATATGTGCAGTGAAACTTGAATTTGTCTTCCATCAAGTCCAAATTTGTTGGGCGTTTAAAAATTGTTTTATCTTTATTGGAGCCTGTTTGAATTGTGGTTTTCCACCCTTGGTTTAAAGTAAACTTGTTTTGAGAGCATCATGAAGGAGGAAAGTCAAATCTATCTTCCATAATTTTTTGGGGAATACCCCCCATCCCCAAAGAATTTATGTTACTGTTAAGTTTATTATTTTTTCCCCCATTTTCCAGGGCAGCACGGTGAACATGAATGTGATGCAGCCGCTGTACAACTTGATTGACGAGCACATTCATGGATACAAATGCCTTGGCATTGCTCTGTTTATTGGTCAGTAGTTCAAGCCTTTGTTGCTTTATCATCATCAGCCCTTTTCAGCAGCTAATTGGCAGGTGCTCTGGTGTGGTCTGCTCCTTTTTTCCTATCAGACATCTGTCGTCCTGATCTCTTAAAAAAAATATTTTTGTTAGTGACTCTCTTGTAACACTTAACTGATCGTGGGCACTTATATGACCTTATTGTGGTGACTAAAACAAAGGAAAGAAAGAGTCTAGTCCACCAAAAAGAGCTCTATACATATACAGTGGAGTCTGCTCGAATGGCTTACTTATTTACTTGGTGGGAGAATAGGTATATTGCTTGGGTCCTCTCCAGTATTCATGAAAGGGTTGGCTTGCTGATCATGCCAGTTTTCAGCTGGTTTGATATTCTTTTGGCTTTTTCATGCAGGTTGCTGTCTCTGTCCCCGACCCTCTTGAGATACCGGCTTTCCTCAATCTTCCCATTGTGTGTGATGCGGTGCCTTCATCTTCTCTGTGGTCGTTGAGAATGGCTATCTAATGTCTACATATCTAAGACCAACACCTGTACTACTGACCACTTCCTTCTTTCTCCCTCATGTGCTTTTTTTTTCTGTATTGTAATGACACTCTCTAAGACATTGATACAGGTACTATTCTCCTTTACCGTGTGTGGCTGTCTTGGACAATTTCGACAGAACGTTTGTCTCGGGCTATAGTCTCCCCTTCGGTTCTGCTGTAACCCACCTGCTTTAGGTCCGAATCTAAGTCCCTCCTTCAAGTACCTTTAGGCCTTCCTTTCTTTCTCTTTCCTTGTAAATTGTCTGTTGTTTGATCGGTGTTCAGGGGTGTATCTGCATCAAATTTGATGTTTGTATCAAATTTGATGTAAGAGTGTATCTCTTTCAAATTTGATGTTCAAGGGTGTATGTGTATTAAATTTGATGTTCAGGGGTGTAGTATATGTATCAAATTTGATGTTTAGGAGAATATCTCTTTCAAATTTTATGTTTAGGAGTGTATCTCTTTCAAGTTTGTGATTGGCGGGTGCTCTGGTGTGGTTTGCTCCTTCTTTTCTATCAAACATCTATGGTCCTTATCTTATCTCTCCTCCTTTTTTTTGTGTGTGTTACTCTCTTGTAACACTTCTAATCTTCGGCACTTTAATGACCTTATTGTGTTGCAAGTGCCTCAAAACTCTTACTAAAACTGAAACAAGTTTGTTAATGACCTTATTGTGTTGCAAGTGACTCAAAACTTTTACTAAAACTGAAACAAGTTTGTTGTTCAGGGATGTTTCTCTGTCAAATTTGATGTTCAGGGGTTGTATCTTTTTCCCTTCCCAACCTTAGGGACTTCAAGGGCCAGGATGCCGTCTGTATGTCACGGCGGCACTTTTCGCCCGATTCTGTTACTTTTAGTTTGCGTGACTCAGCAGCCCGCCAGAGCTCCCCGGCTCGGGGTCACGGGGTTAATGAGCCCTGAAGCGACTTTGCCGCTGTCGGTTAGGAAGTTCGCATTTTTGACTATGTTTAAAACGATATAACTTCTTCCCCATCCCACACAGCAAACCATTACGAAGATGTACTAAAAGCTCAATGTCTTGAGATTTATTCTGCGTTAGAATGGTTAATTTCTGTGCCTTAGTTTTTGTTTTAGACAAGTGTTTGTAGTGTACCAAATTTGTCCTATTTTAGTTACAAACTTATGAATAAATGATTGTTTATTTTAAAAAAGCACGACAGATGTCTCCAAAATCTGTGTTGAACTGACTACGAATGTCATGTCTTTTACCATGAGAAATCTTAAATCTGCGCGAGTAGTAATAGTCAAGTTATAAGAGAAGAAAGATGCACATCTGCATTTTTTAACTAAAGACGATTAGCGTTAGCTCTTATTTTACTATTAAACAAGAGAAAGTTACTCTGCGTTTGTTCGTGAATCATGCTGTGTCTGTGGCAGCCTGCATACAACTAAAAAGATATAATATAGAATCTAAGCGATTTTTAAAAACCCACAAAACCGTGTAAATACATGGGTAGAGATAAACTTCTTGTATGGAGTAAAAATAATGACAGCTAACACATTCATTCTTAGTTTTTGTATCGGAAATATGCGCGGACACAATTATGAATGTGAAGAAATCAGTCACATTGTCTGTTATTGCAAATGGTCATAGAAACGAAAAATAAAGCTGGAAAAGTCTGGTGCTGATTCAGTGTCCCTGAAAAGCAAGAAATTATTCTTGTAACCAAATTACGCCAAATTACTAAATTTTTTTCATTCACGCTAGTCAAAAAAAAAAAAAAATTTAGAATTGCGGACTCCAGCGCGTCTAACGAAATAACCAGACAAGTTACAGCGTCCGTTCTTTTTTGAGTCTCAAGAGCAGAAATGCATGCTTTGGGTGCACCAAATGAGAATTACCATAAATACAAGGATACACCTAAAACTGTACATTGAAAAGTACCAAAAATTAAGTCGGCTTAGACAGCGGTGACAGGGAGCTGACCCCCGTGACCCCGACATGATAAGGCGCCCGGTGGGGAACCCCCCCGCGGCAACTAAAATTCCACTGCCGGTGCGCCGTGATATATATATATATATATATGCAACGATTGTAAATGTCTTGTGGCTGATCAACACAATGTACATCAACATTAGCTGAATGGGATACATCGTTCCATCAGACAGTTGGAGATTCTCGATATAATGACTTCCTCATCCAGGAATTGAACGCTTGTCATTTATGTACCAGTCGAACCTGCTCTAACAACCACCTGCCTCTTTTGCCTTCTTTTTTTTCTTCTTCTTTGTTTGTTGCGCTCTAGTAACACCTCTATTAATTGAAAGTGGGTGATTGGTGGGTGCTCTGGTGTGATTCCCCCTTTCTTTCTTATCAAACATAGTCCATATCTCTCCTTTTTTGCTCTGATCTACAGCACTTATATGACCTATTTGCATTGCAAGTGCCATAAAACTTTTACTGAAACTGAACTAAATTTTAGGCACTAGTATGACATATTTGTGTTGCACAAACTGTAAAACTTCCACTACCCCACCAGGGCAGTGCTACTGACTAAAGTTGTCTTTAGGCCATTCCCCAAAGGGGGAATATTAACCTGTTCTTATACACAGTAGAATTGTAAATGGGCTGATTTATCAATGTCAATTGGCTGGAACAACATAGGGGAACTGCTGCTTTTTCTTTCCTCATCCTTCATCATCAATGCTTTTCACCCCTGGCAGGGTACACGCCACATACAAGCTCCTTCCATTTGTCTCTGTCCTGGGCCATCCTTCCAAGCTCGTTCCAAGTGAGCTTCATCTCTATCATGTCCCTTTCCACGCATCTCCTCCATGTTTCCCGTGGCCTACCCCTGCCTCGTGCTCCCTCTGGGCTCCACTGCAGTGACTGTCTTGTGATATTTTTGCTGGGCTATCTGTTGATGAAAGTCTGGACTTTATTCAGTACTGTCTTTGTTGTCTTCCAAGTTTCGCTGCCGTAGAGGTGTAAAGACTTGACGTTGGAGTTAAAAGAGTCGAATCTTGGTGTGCAGTGTGATATCGCTTGCTTTCCAGACTTTTGATAATTGATTGAATTCTGACCTTGCCCTGGCAGTTCTTGCTTTAACATCTGCCTCGGTCCACCTTTACCATCATCCTTACTATCATCATATTTCCTCTACTTCCTTTTGTATGTATGTCTCTCTCTTGTTAACTGCTATTTCCGGGGGGCCTTGATAGTTAAAGCAGACTTTGTGCTGTTGAAGCTAGAGAGGTGAGCAGAGTAGGCCTGATTCCCCGTTTGGATTTCTCTGTTGACATCTACCTGATGGCGCTCATATGACCTTATGCAGTTGCGAGCGCCATAAAACCTTACTAAAACAAACAAAAACTGTATAACTCATACTGAAGCTAAAACTGAACCTCTTTTTCTTAAATTTTTTTTTTTTTTCAAAATTGTTTTCAGTACTTACATGGCCCATTTGTGTTGCAAACCAAACTTCTGATATTATAGTTTTCTTAACTCTGTTGTGTTTTTTTTCCCCTATCCAGGTGCTGGCACGTGTATTTTCTCTCTATTGATTGCGTTTACCCTCGCCTTTTTCGACAAACGTGCTGACCGTATTCTGAAGCGTCAGGCTATCTCCTCAGGTAATTGCTCTTTTTCTTCCTCTATTTTTCACAATAGTCTTTTTTATTGTCACTATGTGCATACATATACCTGTGTGAAGGCATAGAAAACTGACGACTTGTTGGAAAAATCACTTTCATTGGACAGGGGCATTTTTAAAATGTCACCTTTTCTGTTTGTCAGGGTCCAAAACAGTTTTTAAAAATCTATTATAGTTTATTATTTTAATTTAGACAGTAATATATCTATACAAAATTGAATAGTACAAAAGATTCTAATAGAATTATACTTGGGTAATGGACTTCTGATGGCACCTGAAATATCTAGTTGCGTATAATAAATGTACTCTTCAGTGTAGTTTAAAAAATAAAATGTTTGAATGTTCTGCAAGTATATTTGTACAATGTTTTAGTCTGTTGTTGAATGATAATGATTTTAATGAGAAAGCAGTGAAAACGAGAAATCATGTTTTGCTATTTTTTTTTTTCCCAGAGGAGATGATCAAGTTCCGTGACATCTTGACGTTTCCTATGCCAACATGGCTGATCTCGGTGATCTGTGTGGCTTACTATGTGGCTGTGTTCCCTTTCATCGGTCTTGGCCTGTATGTAGCTCTTGCTCGTTTTGTGCGGCAACGAGGTGAAACCAGGCACTTCTCAAAATAATGAAATCAAAGAAACGCATTTTTCTGCCATTCTGGCAATTTTTATCGAATTTTTTTTTTTCGCTCAACACCATTTATGTCCTTATAATAACACATTTCTGTGTGAATTTTAATAAAAATTGTTGATTTTAAGGCTCAAAATATGTAAATTTTCAGTTTTCAAGGACTTTCAAGCTATTGAAGTTACCAGATTTTGGCGGCCATTTTCTAGTTAATTTTACCTTTGGAACGAGACCCCACCTCCTTTAATCTCAAATATCTCGTTTTCTATTTGAAGTAGATCAGTGTTTTTTTCATCAAAAGCAAGGCAAATGAATCAACTTTCACATGATACCAATATAAATGTACATTCCCAAAAGTTGATGAACGCCTGATTTCACAGCGTTGTAACACATTTGTATATTGTAATCATAATAAATGACATTTATATAGCGCTCAACCCCGATCAAAGTACACAGGCTCTGAGTGCTTTACAATACAGTACAACGTACAACAGTAACATAAAACTTTGTTTTCTGACTAAAGAAAATTATTCCAAATATTCGTCTTATTAATTTAAAAACAGAAACGACTTCTGCTGACATTTGAATGAATCAAAAGATTTTATCTCTCTTAAAGTACTTGGTAAAGCATTCCAGGTCTTGGGGCCTTTGTATTCAAATGCCCTTTCACCCATTGTTTTAAGTTTCTTAGATGGTAAAATAAATTTCTTTTTGTCAGCTGATGACCTTAAATTGCGAGTTGGAATGTACAGTCTTAACAGATTGTATGTATGGTTTCTTTAAGTACTCCATTTATATATATTGTAAATCCAAGCCTCACCCTAAGTGCAAGCGGTGAACAGACACCCTAGTGGCTTCTGTTTCCAATAATAGTTCTTTTTCAGCATTTCGGATATCCGAAGCTACTCCCTGGCGAAGTGCAGCTGTTGAGGTGTTGTGGTCAGGCATTTTTCAGTTGCAGTCAGTTGACCGAAGATTCATGTGTGATGGGAATTCTTACAGAGTATTCTTATATTTTATTTTAATTATAGGACAGAGACAAACAGGTCGTAGTGGGTGGTTGGTGGACACTCTGGTGTGGTTTGCTCCCTCTTTCCTTTCAAACATCTCTTGTCCTGATCTCTCCTTATTTTCTGTGTTCGTTTCTCTCCAATAACACCTCAAGTCTTCAGCACATTACTTTTTTTTTCCTTTTTTACTGTAGGTTGTTTTTATGCCCCCTTTGAAAAAAAATATAGATTCTTTGAAAGGCAGGCTTCGAAACCAGCCTCTCAGGGTCAACCTGGGCTGAGATGGACACAACATCCCAGCAGTAAGACTGAGATATTTGATTATTATTTCCTCCCCATTCGGGAATCGAATTCGTGTCTCCAGTGTGTGACAGCGGAGCGCCGAACCGTTATACCACGGAAGCTGGTTTGGGCACTAACATAACCTATTTTTGTTGCAGTTGCCATAAAACTCTTACTAAAACTTAGCACTAGGGTTACTCTCTTATAACACCTCAAATCTTTGGCACTTATTTGACCTAGTTGTGTTGTTAGTGCCGTAAAACTTTTACCAAAACTCAAGTAAATCATTGACCGTAAACTTGTACTAAAACTTTGTACTGAAGAAAAGCAAGTCATAATCTGCTCTTGTTCTTCCCTTAGGGTGTTCTTTGAGATGAAATTTGGTCTGAACCCCACAAGCGCCAATGCCGTCAACAGCCTGGTGTACATTATCTCGGCTGGAGCCTCCCCGTTCTTTGGTTTCCTCATCGACAGGATTGGCAAGAACGTGTTCTGGGTCATCATCGGTATCGTCATCACACTGGGTTGTCACATGATGCTGGCCTTCACATTTATGAACCCTTACATCCCTATGGTATGTGCTGCTTGCAACATTGGGGTTTTTGTTTTCTTTTTTCTTTTTCCTTTTTTCTTTTGATTCTGTTTCTTTGCCTCGTTCTCTTCCTCCCTATATGTACCAAGTTACAAAGCTCTATCTTTATTCCTTCATATTTAGACTTAAGACTTCTTGAACCCCCCTCGTATATCTCTGTCTCTCTCCTTATCTTTTTTTCTGCTACCCCCCACCCTGCATCTCATTCTTCCTTTCTCAGAACTTTGTTCTTCTCAGTCTCTGTGCATCTGACTCTGTGCCTATCTCCACACTGACAGTCCTGTCATGGACAACATTATTTTTTTTCTGGACTCTAATCTTGATATTTCGACAAAATACAGACGAGAGATGCATTCTATAATATATCAATCCTCAGGTGATCATGGGCTTGTCTTACTCCATTTTGGCCAGTGCCTTGTGGCCAATGGTTGCTCTCATCATCCCTGCTCACCAGCTGGGCACAGCTTATGGCATGTAAGTCCTGATTTCCCACCTCTTCTTGTATTTTTCCATCGGGTAGGGTAGGGATTTTGAAACAAACAATTAAAAATAAATTGGGGCTGCATTTCTTCCCACATCTATTGTATTTTGCCATCCGTTATTAATTTTGGAATGAACAACTTTTGACATTTTGGGATTCTTCTGCTGCTTTTGATTAATTTTTTACATTTTTAGGCAGTGGATGATATTAAATGTAGCCTGAGATTGTGTATATTTAAATGTAATGGAATAGAATGACCTGATGTATATGACTTACTCATGTGAAATGTTTCACTCTCTTGTTTTTTGCTTGCACAAAGTGACCACTATTCTGCAATAAGCTGACAAAATACCTTTTTTTAAAATTACCAGCAGTTGCGAGATAAAGAGGGTTTACAATCAATATTATTATGAGAAAATCTTAATATAAATGTCTTTATCTTTTGTCTTATGTCATACAGTATGCAAGCCATTCAGAATCTTGGTCTGGCTGTCATCTCACTGACCGCTGGCATCATTGTGGACAAAAGCGGGTACCTCATCCTGGAAGTCTTCTTCATGGCCTGGCTCTGCTGTGAGTTTGTTTTTGTTTGTTGTTGGTTTTATTTATTTATTTTTTAAAAAAGTTATTGATCTGTTTGGTTCCTCCTAAGCCTCACCTTTTAAATTATGAGTGACTTCTGTTTGTTTGTTTATTTATTATTTTAATTATTTTAGTTATTGATTTGTTTGGTTTTAAGTTATTGATCTGTTTGGTCCTCTTGAGCCTCACCATCTGTATTATATTATGAGCTACGGTACTGGTTTGATGGCTGTACTTCTGTACTATCCCTCTTCAGAGTCTGTCCGTCTGAGTGTTTTTTTGCTTTGTTTTTATAGCACAACAAGACCATCATTGTGTGAATATACTTACCTCTGCTCCAACAAAACAAATTCTATTATTAGGTATGAAATGTTGTACATGTATGTGTATGTGCTTTGTGCAGTACTGTTTAATAGAAGATATTGTGTGTTTTCCTCCTGGTGCAGTATGCTCTAGAAGGTCCTTTCTCATGTGTTGATCGTAGGGCCTATATGGTGTAATAATGGGAAACGGGGTTTTACGAATGATTATAATGAATCTTTTCATAGCTTTTCATTCGTGAAATTGGAATGCTGGCCAAGAGGATGAGAGGTTTGAAAAAATTTTCACTCATTTTTTTTCTTTTCTGTCCCCAGTGGCTTTGATAGCTGCTGTCCTCCTGTATCTAGTGGATGCTGCTAGAGGTGAGTCACTAATATTTGTTAATGTTTTAGGCCCTCATTGACATGATTTAGGTCATCCAGTGGGTTGTCCATGGCCACCTTGTCTCTCAGGGCCAATATATGCTGTGTTGGGTTGTTATGTATACATCTCGGCTGAAACATGGAAATACAATTATGGTGAAACGCGTTGAGTTCTATCCCACAATGAGAAAATGGCAGCCAAAGTTTGGTGACTGTCATAGTTCTGAATAGACTAAAATGGTGTCAAGATATAAAAGTTGATGGTTGGTGGGTGCTCTGGTGTGGTTTGTTCCTTCTTTCCTGTGGAACAAATATCGTCTTTATCTCTCCTTCTTTTTTTTGTTCTCTCTTGTAACACCTCTAATCTTCAATACTTATACGACCGTATTGTGTTGCAAGTGCTGTAAAACTCCTACTAAAACTAAAATATATTTTAAAAATTCGATAAAAATTCTCAAATCAGTGGAAAATTGCCAACATCTTCAATTTGATTATTTTAACGAGTGCCTGATTCCACCACGATGCCTCACATTTGATTAAAGAAAAATACACCAATAAGAGGGAAATGGGTTGATAATTGATGCCACATTTTCTTTTTCTCTGTCTATTTGCCGATCTGTTTTTTTCTGTCTGTTTGCCAGTTTGTTTGTCCTTTTCTATCCCTACATGTGGCCATTATTGTGTCGACATGCTTCTCTTTACTCAGAGTAATGATGAGTAAAAAGGAAAAGGTAATTGCAGCTGTTTTACACCCCAATTGACACATTTTAATTCTTTTAAGAATGGGGATGCTTCCGTCCTTTCTGTCAGGGACAGAGAGGCATACAGCATTCCGGCAGAAAGACGGTGATATTTGATGAAAATTCTCCCTACATGAGAATCGAACTTGCGTTTTCTGTGTGTGACGGCTAACCTCCTTGTGAGGGGAAGCGGAGAGAGGAAAAATAATGGTGGTAATGAAAGTAGTTTAGAAGAGAGCTAGTGGTGGCTATTCCGTTGAACAAATTTCCTGGGTTTTTTTTTAGTCATTCTTTTAAAAAATTCTGTTTTGCTCCACAGGTGGAAAACTGAACTACTCTTCGAAAAAACGTAATGCTCTGAAGGAATTGGAGGATGAAGAAAAACTGAAGTGAGTTGTTTGCCTTTTTTATATGTTGTGTTGTGTTTTATCAGTCACCGTCTGTGGTCCTGTTGCTTATGGATTTGACCAACTTCTGAAAGGTCTAGATTCAATTGATTGGTCAGATTATTTCAGTTCATCGTCATCATCATTGCCTTTCTGACCCTGGGTCAGTGTATAGGCCACAAACAAACACTTTCCACCTTTTTTCTATGTCTTCCCACTTTTCAGTAGAGTCCTTTCAGCTTTGTTCACTATCCTTCATTGTTTCCTGTGGTTGCAGAAGCTCCTGTGTCTCCTAAGATTGAAAAATAAATAGTATAGGCATGTTTGTTCATGTTTCTGTAACTTTCAGTTTTTACAGGGTCTTTCCTATCAAACATCTATCGTCTTTATCTCCCCTCCTTTTTTGTGTTTGTTACTCACTTGTAACACCTCTACTCTTCGGCACTTATATGACCTAATTGTGTTGCAAGTGCCGTAAAATTCTTACGAAAAAAATAACAGGATCAGGTAGTTGGCCCTCCGCAAACTGACACTTTTTGGGAGACCAGACCTATGTATCTTTAGTCGCCTCTTACAACACGCCATATCACAGCAGGTGTTATTCTTTGCTCCCCCATAGTTAAACTAGACAGTGATTTACTGTGACATATCTGTTTGATTGAACATATTTTTTGCACCCTGTGATAGAAAGCATTATTATGTGCAGTCACAGTACTTCTGGTGGTACGTATCTGTTTAGGGTATACTGTTATACAGTTGAATTGGCCCTGACAGCCACTCATTATTATGGAGAAAAGTGATTGTCTTAGATTGGTGGACATCATGGACAAGTGCCATTGTAATATGAGATAGATAAAGCACAAAGGGAGAAGTGGGAAGGGGTCATTTGAACTGTTCATTGTCTTGGAAAGATGACGTTAGAGCAGGTTCGACTCTAATTTTGTCACGTAAAGTTCCTTTTTTCAGTATTCACCTCAAGCAGTAAAGGGGGAATTAATAATTATCAGTACTTTTTGTCTTGAGCTGTCTTTACAGAGTTACTTATATTTCTTGTAGCAGTGGTACCACAGTAGATAACAGTTTCTATGCCAGCTGCAATATAATTACATGATAATTGTTTATCTAATTTAGATATTAATAGTTTGTGCCACAGGAGTATCAGTGAGAGCTTGAGTTGTTTGGTGGTGTCGCCACTGATGGGTTCTACTTTTTATTTTGTGGGGTATCCTGATGTGGTGCCAGATATGTATTTGTGTTAACTTGGTACATGTAGTAATTATTGTAGTTCAAGAGAAAACAATACAGGAAAAAGGAAAGTTGTTTATAATTTGGTGCAGAAGATGATGATGATACTAACGGGTTCTACTTTTTTTCTATCTCTGTGTTATTCTCAGCCAACCTGTCTTAAAAAATTTTTCCTTTCCCGAAATGAATGTTATGGTGTATTAATGTGCTTCTCCTTATCCAAAAGCATGTACTATCAGGATGCATTTTTGTGCAGTTTGTAATGCTTTTTCCTTTTTATGGGTAGTTGGGGGATGCTCTGGTGTGGTTCGCTCCTTCTTGCCTATCAAACATCTATCGCTCTGATCTCTCCTCTTTCTAGTTTGTGTTTGTTACTCTGCAACACCTCTAATCTTCAGCTCTGATATGAACTTTCTGTGTTGCAAGTGCCATGAAAGTAAAACTTGACTTTTACTGAAACTAAAAGTAAACAATTTGTTCTCTTTCTTTAATTTCCAGGGACAACTAAAGACAAGCTCAGCCCAGAGAAGCTCAGTAGGACGGGACTGAATTCTGTAGTCTTTCAATAATATGTAACAATGCTGTGGGTACTGGAGTTTGCTCCATGACTTGCTTGTGTAGGTTAGGATGAATGGCATGAATTTGGCAGGCAGCCTTAGCCGGTAGCTGTGTCTTTGGCAGCTGATTCAAAATCACCCAGTTAAGGTCACCGTGTTGAGTGCTATACTTGTACTGAAGTTGATGTTCGTATTTTTTTGCTAAACATGGAAGAGTTTTTATTCTACCTTACTCAAATGCCTCTTAATTTTATTGTAGTGAATTTATTATTTTTTTTTAGCAAAACAGGTCTTTCTTCTTCACAGGGAGAAGTATGTACAAAGAAGACAGTGTTCGCCTGAAGGGGCATAGTTTTTTCTTTCTGAACTCATCAATTTTGAATACATTTTTATGTCATATTTCATGCCCTTTGTTTTAGCTCTAGTCCTGTATATTAGTAAGGTATAATATATGATATATCATTTATCAGCAAAACCATTTTTTGGTTTAAAAAACCATTTATGTATTGTGTTTTTTTTTTTGGGGGGGGGGGGGGGGGGTTTTTTTCTTTGAAGGGGGGGGGGGGGGGGGGGTGTAATAAGTCAGTTTTTATTTGTGTCTGTGACACTTGGATTTTCTTTTAAAAAATGTTCGCAGCCTTTAATTTTTGGATTGAAGAAGTTGAGGAAAAGAGCATCAGAATTATCCAAATTTTTCTTGACTTTTTTAAAAATAATTGCTGTTAATGTTCTGTGTGTTCTGTGTGTAGGCCTACCATGCATAAATGTTGAAGTTAGCAAATACTTTTGAAAATAATAAAATTTCTCTAAATGCTTCTTATTGATGAAAAGAGGATAGTAATAAAAATACATTCTGACTGGAAAGTCTTTCTTGAACATTCTCCATTTTCAGATATGTATGGCTAAGCTAAGGCAAAAGTACTTGTTCCCCCCCCCCCGTCAGCTGAATTTCCAGATATAATGTAGATCAAAAGATGACACCCTCCCCCACTCTTTCTTTGCACACCATCAAACCTCTTCTTCAAAAGCTATATATTGTTAAATTATTAACATATGAAGTTTTATTTTTTTCCCCCTTTCATTATCTCAACTAGGGTCCAAAGTGCCTTTTGCCAAATGAGGTAGAATGGGAACATTGCTAGAACTTGTGTTCCAGGGTTCTGTTTTTAGTTGTCATATAGCTGGTTCTTTTTGATAAATTGTTCGTAATGCAAAAAGTTTAAAAGAGTGACAGGGTGGATTATGTTGAATTTTTAGGTCAACATTTCCTTAAGCTTTTTTTTCCATATAGTTGGGTTTTTGTTTCTATGTTACGAGTTCATATAAACGAAAATGAGTTTTTTTTAAATCCTTGGCATTGTTTTAAAGAAAAAAATGTTGTTTCCTTTACTTTTATCTTTTTAAAAAGTAAATGGCAGCAGAATGTTTTCACTGATGTGCCATGGTTTCTTTAAATCACTTGTTTATTTTTCTTAATTTAAACATCTTTTTTTCAGGTCCAAATTAATGGCTTGGTGCAAGACTTTGACACATGCCAAATTGCGTAATGGCTTTTGTGACAGTCATGCATCCAGTCATTAATAGGCAAGTCTTTCATATAAGGAAATGCTACTGAAGGTTTCTATGAATGCAAAAATGTCCTTTTGTCAGTACCGTACATATGTTTCTTTTGATGCAATACAGGGTTCCTGAGGTCTCCTTGAATTCAAGGAGTCTCTGAAAACCAGTCAAAGAAAAATCTCCTTGAAAACTCCTTGAATTTCCCGGGATCGGACACGAACCAAATTTTTGTCAGATTGCTCTTGGCGTGCCATAAAAAATGGCATGAATTTTTTTTTACAAAATCTCCTTGAATTAAAAAAATTTCTCTTTGAAACATTGAAATCTCCTTGAATGTGGTGGGGAGTTCATAGCAGGAACCCTGGCAATATGAACAAGTCTTTAATCTTTTTATAAGGAAAGACATATCGCCTTGCTTAGTAGTGCAAGGCTCCCCCATATGCCACCTTAAGTGTCGTAGGATGGAGTCTTACACTGAGCAGTCAATATGCTTTGTGACTACTGTCTCTTTCATGATCCTGTAAATGCACAAACAAAATGATATAGCAGCATTGAAGACATTTCCCACCAAATCAGTTCTTCCGAGTTCATAGTTCAAAGCTTTCATAAATGATAGTTCAAATGTGCTTTGAACATCACGTGTGAGAGAGGGCTGTTGGATTCTATTTTTCATTTCATACCTTTAATCAATCCTGATTTTCACATATTGAAAACACTGTTTATGGTTTTTTGCTCCCCCAAAAATGGGAGACCTCATTCTGTGGATCTGTGATGGGGCAAAAGTTTGTCCACGGGATTCTGGGTCTCTGTCTAATTGGGGGTGTGTTTTCTTCAGTTGTAGCAAAGACTTCACGTGTTTGTGGAGCTTGCGCTGAAATATCAGGGAATTTAACATGACAGGAACAACTGGGCTCGATCACGACAGTTTTACTCACTTAACCCTTCCAGCCCCATGCGCGTATATTTTCAGCAGCGCTTGTACCTCCCACCATCCCAAGAGCATGTTATATTTTGTGCATTTTTCAAAACCAGGGAACCTAGTTAAACTTTGATTTTCAAAATATTTGTTCATTTACCATTAAACATTGTTGCACAGTTATTATCTAAATCATTACAAAGGTACTACATAACTTTTTAAAATGCATGCCTTTTTTTCTGAAATACTGCTGTATTGGCTGCGATTAGGGAGTGCTAAAAATGACTGGGGCTGGAAGTGTTGAACATTTTGTGTGGTTAAACATGTGCTTTATTTTTTGTGTGCCAAAAGTTGGAAGGATGCTTGGTTACCATGGTCGTGTTCTTTCAGTGGCCCTCCGCCCAGCCGCCATCAGGCCTTCATCTTCTCCAGTCTCCGCTTTGATGTATTATTTCACGAGCAGAAGAAATCGTAAAGGGACTTGGCCTTAACTTCACCGGCAACGATTTCATGAAACTGGGTTCTTGTAGCAAAATTTAGAAACGTCCAGCTATGATAATTTGTTAACCGTTTGAGCCCTCATCTTCTACGCCTTACAAGCTGTGCCTCAGACCTTCCTTAGGTTGAGTGCTAGGTTGACATCTTGGCGAGCTGAGGCCTGTGTTTGATGTATGGAAGGGTGCAGGTGGCATGTGCTTTGCCAGGTCCATAGGTTTAAAACACTGTCCTTGTACTTGTGAAAAACAGAATCTTCTTTGATATATTTACATAAAGTATTAAAGCTTTAAGATGACCGTGTCTTTAAGACGTCAGAGAAAAATTGCAACAAGTCTACCACAATGTAAGAGCAGCCGTAGTATCTTTTCCTGAACTCCAATTGTTATGTAAGGAACATGTGAACTTGATATGTGTATTGTGTTTCGCCATGCAGAAATTGTTTAAGTTTCTGTGTGTTCACATTGAACCCTGTTGGCAAATACACCTCTCAATTGATGATGAGAAAAGAATAGAGATTTACCTTAGTACTGTTGCTAAATTGTATAGCCTAATTAAATGGCTGTGATGCATTTATTAATTGGACATCCATATTTAATTTAAAAGCACTTGGGTGAGAGTTATTATTTTTTAAGGGAATTCTGGTCTTATTTTTCACTTTACTTTTACCAATATTTATGAAGGGTTTTCAGAACACCAGTGGATGATCTGATGTAGTTTCGGTCTGTCTACTTACTTAAAAAAACAACCAGTTGTAAATTTGACTTGTTAAAAGTCACATAGACTTGAGAGATGTACACTGCACAAACTGTTTTGTTACTGCAATGAATTATTCATGCAATCCCGCTAAGTTGGATGATGCCATTCATAAACTATGTACCAGAATTTATGCTTTGTTTCTACTACACTTCAATTATTACCCAAGACGTGTGTCTGTAGTCCTGCCTCAAGTGTCCGCCCTCTGCTCCTTAGGCTGCATGATTTACTTTTATTCCAGTTCAGAAGAAAATGCTTTTTTACTGTCTAGATGTGTTCACTTTTAAACTAAACCTTGGGGAATTGTTTTTTTTCTTGTTTTGTGCAGTTCTTATATATATATATATATATACACATTGGTTTTTTTTTAGCCTTTACTATACTGACTGGTTGCTGCAATTCTAACGTCCACTTTTTACCAGTTTTTTTTTTGTTTTGCAACGAAAATATATGTGTGTGTGCCTGGAGAAAGATGACAGTTGTCGGCAAAGCTATTTTTGAGCAATGTGATGAAAAGGCTAAAAATGTCGAAGCTGGACAAAAATCTAGTTCCATCAGAAAACACACGTTTAACCATTTCTTGATAACGTACCCTTATTTCAATACCCCAAATTTCCGACAAGATCTTTTTCCATGCACACACACATCTTATATAGTGCTGGAACTAGTTAAAAGGATGCAATGAAAATTCTTGTGAGAAATAGTTTTTTTTTCCCGGCATTATAATGCATTTCTCTTGGCATGACTTTGTCTTGGCATTACTGATGTATTATGTGAGCAGGCAGTTGACGATGGAATTGATGAAAAGGATTTCTCTCCGTCAAGTAGCATTGTATCAAATACTCATGTTGTACAAACTTTTCATATTATTGGTCTTTCACAACTATAGACTCTATTCACATGCAACTCTATGTTTATCTATATGGGTTGGGATTTTTTTTTTCCCTTCTGCGTGTATGCTAGTTTACCAGCCATGTCCAGGAAAGAAAAAGTAGCGTTTTTTAAAAATATTTTTTAAAAAAGTAATAATATTTACAAACACCGTGGTCTGGAATTAAAGTATTTAGATGAAAATAAACTCACCTTTGTTGTTTAATTATAAAACTGATGACTCAACATTACAAATTGATGTAAATTTACAATCAAAGCAAGAGAAACCAAAAAAAACGTAGCACTGAAACTGAAAATTTCATTTAATAAGTGATAGGGAAAGAAAACGTGTGACATTTTCTGTCTCTGGCTACTTTCATGGACATTAATTCCAGGGGTCTTTTTTCCAAGGTTGCAAACCACAGAATGGGGATTGGAGTGGGGAAGAATATCATAAGTGTATATAAATCGAGACCGAAATAGGGACTGTTGCTATGATCAGGCTTTGGTACGTAATTATTAAGTCAGTGTTTTGACAGTTAATTTTGCATTTGTTTCCTGGAGCGTTCCTTTTAGTGGT